TCTGATGAAGAGTCTAGGCCCGAAACGTCAGCCTTTTTGCTCCTATGATGCTGCTTGGCCTGCTGTGTTCATCCAGCTCTGCACCTTGTTGTCTCGGATTCTCCAGCATCTGCAGTTCCTACTATCTCTGAATGCAAGCAGCCAAGTTACCGTGGATCCCATGCATCTCGATCTTCTGGATGAGCCTACCATGAGGAACCTTTTCAAAAGCCTTAGTAAAATCCATGTAAACAACATCCACTGCTCTACCCCCATCAATCACCTTTGTCAACTCCTCAAAAAATTCAATCAAGTTAGTAAGACATGACCTGCCCTGCACAAAGCCATGCTGACTGTCCCTAATTAGGCCATGCTTTTCCAAACATGCATAAATCCTATCCCAAATAATTCTCTCCAATAGCTTCCCAACCACCAATGTGAGACTCATCGGTCTATGGTTTCCTGGATTATCCCTATGTCTCTTCTTGAACAGAGAAGCTACATTAGCTACTTGCCAGTCCTCTAGAACCTCTCCAGTGGCTAGCAAGGATGCAAAGCTCTTGGTCAAGGCCCCAGCAATCTCATCTCTTGCTTCTCTCAACAACCTGGGGTAGATATCATCGGACCCTGGGGACTTATCCACCTTAATGCTCTTCAAGAGAACCAACACCACTTCTTTCTTGATCTCAAAATGCCCTCACATATTAGCATGCTCCACACAAATCTCACTATCTTCCATATCCTTTTCCTGGGTGAATACCGACATAATGCACTCATTTCGGTTCTCACCCATATCTCTGCCTCCAAGCACAAGTTCCCTCCATTATCCTTGAGTGGTCCTATCTTTTCCCTAGTTGTCCTCTTGTTTTAAATGTATGTATAGAATGCCTTAGAATTCTCTTTAATCCTACTTGGCAAGGTCATTTCACTGCCCCTTCTTGCTCTCTTAATTCCCTGCTTGAGCACTTCCTGCTTACCTTATATTCTTCATGGGCCTTGTCCGATTTTAGCTTCCTAAACCTTTCATATGCTTCTTTTTCCCTTTTGACTAAATTCATAACCTATATCATTGTCCAAGGGTCCCTTTGCCATCCTTGTCCTTCCTCCTTACTGGAACATGCCAGTCTTGAACTCTTCCCAGCAGGTCTTTAAACATCTCCCACATGTCAAATGTGGATGCCTGTTAACTGCTCCTCCCAATTAACACTCCCTAGCTTCTGCCTAATGCTGACGAATTTGCCCTTGGGAGGCTTTTCTGTGTTTTTCCTTCTTAAACAAGAACACAGGAGATGGAAAACAGTGGGTTATTTATCCTGCTTAACCTACTCAGCCATTCAATACGACCTAAACTGATCTTGAGCTTCAACTTTTTTTTTCTCCCTTTATCCCTCAATTCCTTGAGACATGAGCAATTTGTCTATTCTAAGTATATTCAAGGATGGAGCACCTACAACATTCTGAGGTAGTGAATTCTAAAGATTTGTAGCCCCTTCAATGAAGAAATGTCTCCTCCTCTCAGTCCTAAATGATTGGGCTCCTAACCTGAGACTATGTCCCCTAGGATTCCCAGACAGTGGAAACAATTTCTCAGTATCTACCAACCAAACTCCTTCAGAACTTTACATGTTTCAATGAGAGGTTGGTGCATGTACGGAATGAGCTGCCAGAGGGAGTGGTGGAGGCTGGTACAATTATAACATTTAAAAGGCATCTAGATGGGTATATGAATAGGAAGGGTTTACAGGGATATGGGCCAAATGCTGGCAAATGGGACTAGATTTATTTAGGATATCTGGTCAGCATGGTCGAGTTGGACTGAAGGGTCTATTTTCATGCTGTATACGTCTATGACTCTATGAAATCACTTTGCGTTCTTCTAAACTCCAGAGAATACCATTTTTACTCAGCCTCTCATCATAGGACAACATCTTGCTATCAGAGAACAATATAGTAAACGTTCACTGTATTGCCTCCAATGTAAGTATAACTTACTTAAACATGGGAATCAAAATTGCTCTCAGTATTTCAGACATGATCTCACCAAAACCCTGGACAACTGGAGTTAGACCCTCATATTCCAGTACTCAAACCCCCTTGTAATGAAGACCAACATATGATAGCCTTCCCATTTACCTGCTGTCCCTGCATACTAACATTCTGAGCTCCTTTCATGAGTACACCCTAGCTTCACTGAATGTCAATATTTACTTTTTAAAAACATTGCATTTTTCTATTTTTACAAAGGGAATAGCTTCACAGTTCCCCACGTTACCCTCCATCAAACTTTTCTGCACTACTAAAAGCTATCAATTCAAAATTTAATTTAGAAACATATTAAATACATGGTGGCTCAGTGGTTAGCACTACTGCCTCATAGCACCAGGGACTTGGGTTTAGCCTCGGGTAAATGTCGTTGTGGAGTTTCCTCCAGGTGCTCATGGATGGATTTTCTTATTGAGTTTTCATTTTTTGATGGAATAGACTTTTGTTGAATATTTGAATTGATTCTTTAATTTTTTTCCAATTTATTTACAGCCATACATCTTTGTCTATTTAGTCAACTAATCCTAGGCAGTTTTCTACTCTCACCCATATAATTGGCTTTAAGGTTCTAATTTGTGTTTGGAGTACGTAATTTTTTAACTAAACATGAAATTTAATTGTTATAGTGATCACTGGGTCCCAGCGGATGTTTTATGATTAGATTTCGAATTAACCCTGCTTCATTACACAATGTTAGAGCTAAATTAGCTTTATCACTAGTTGGTTCCACAACATATTGTTCCAGAAAACTGTCATGAGAACAATGTACAAACTTATCATCGAGGCTACCCTTGTTTTTGCTTTTGAAGTTAATAGGTGGAGCTGGTGTAAGGGAGAAAGCAATTCATTCTATGGAGTAAGGGAGAAAATAGTGAAGTCTAAATCAGAGGTATACTGCAAGTTTGTGAATGCAGGGAGTATAGTTAATAAGACTGGGAGTTACAGGCACAGATCAGCATGGGAGATTGTGACGTTGCAGCTTAATGAAGGCCAGATCTGAGTATTGCATACTCCTGGTTA